TAAATTCTTAAAACATAGAAAAAAGATATTTATTTAAAGAAATATATTTGTTAAAGATATTATACATATCTAAAATGTAATTTAAATTGTTCGATATTTAAAAATAATTAATGCAGGCAGTTTGATCAAAGAACTTTTACACATAATGTAATAAATATTTCATATATCAATAATGTTTCTAATATATTGATCAATGTCTATTTCTATCAATACGTAAATTAATTTCAATATCGGTTTAATTTACTATTTTTTTAGTTCTAAAAATTAGAATAACTAATTTCTAATTTTTAGTAAATTAAACGACATAAAAATGAATCTGTATTATCAGAAATTTTTATAGTTAGACATTTTCTATTCATACATGTTTAATATTTATACATTCTAATATATAAATACCAAATAATAACATACAAATAATTTTTATATGCATAAAACATTATAAAGTTTCTCAAACTATTATCTCAACACGAAATTTAAATTATTTTAGCATGACTATGCCTGATATTCATAGGTCGTTCTTATACTTAAGATCGTTTTAAACAAACTTATACAGCTACTGGTTGAAATGTAATCTTAAGATGATCTTAAATATAAGGATCGACTATGAATATCAACCTGACTTGCAGATCTTACAACAAACGTTAGTGTTATTCATTATTCATTGTGCGTCGTATCATCATAGACGTATATATGTGGATGTTGCTCAATAATCTTTATATCTTTCTCAAGTTGTTGCAATTCGCGCTCCATCTCCGTTTTCCTCTGTGCTTTCGGTGGTGTATCCGTAAGGAATGGCAATCCTTGGAATAGTTTCATTGCTTCCTCCCATTTTTGCTTCATACCCTGTTTTCAGAATGCAATGATCACTTCCGTCCAAATAAAGCGGGAGTTACAAAGTTGGAAAGATCTAAATTAGATACCTACATCCAGCAGCATCTTCCGTTCCTTCTTGTCAATATATCGACACGCTGACAATTTGGATATTTCATCGCCCTTCAGGACGTCACGCTGTACGATCATTTCCGTTTCCATTCTTCTTTTTGCGTTGATTGCGATGAATCTTGGTACTCTTCCATAATTCTAAAGAATATCAAATGAAAATGTATAAGCTATTAATCTCGCAAGTAATTGCTTTTTAATTTGTATAAGTATACAACATATAGATTTTTATTCAAAGTAATCGATCAACAATAATCGTATAAGACATGAAAAATAATACAAGATTAAAAAATAAACAATAGGAGTTCTTTCTTTCGCACATGTCATACTTATAGTCATACTAATAGTCATACTTTCTTGTGAATGTAAACAGGATATAAGCCGCTACTTTTTAAGTCATGCATGTCGCCATAACGAGTATCGACGAATCGTCGTTTAGGCTCTGCTGGATAGGAACGTTTCACGCAAAGAATATTTTGTTTAACGAAATTCTTTTCTCGGACGACGGTCAATTTTTCTAGAGGATCCGCCATTTTGTTTAACACTCATCCTCCTGTATCTATGGACGACTTCGATCAAACTCCGATTAATTTATATCTACTTGTATCAATTTTTAGAAATGTAGATTAAAAATATATTAATTATATAATAATAGCAAAAAATTATCAAAATTTGTAAAAAGTATATATTTTTATATTTATACTGTATTGAATATCAAATAAAAATTAGATTCAGATTATAGATTCAAGTTGTAAAGAAATTAAAGCATAAACAAAATAGCATTGTTTTTAACAATTTTATGAAAAAAATATTTGTAATTAACATTTTTTTTATTGAACAACAAAAACGTTTAATTATTTTCTGAAATCAACTACAAAAAATAAAAATAATTAATAATTTATAGGAAAATTTTGAATTCTAGGTATCGAATAAATTGAACATAAATTGAAAGCTAAAAATAATCAAATATGTAAATAAAGTTAATATAATTGAATAATTAGAGTTTCAAATACTGACGCAAAAACTTGGAAATATGCCGTTTCTTCTATGTAATCCCATGTTGTCAATTAATTCATTAAATATTAGACCTTCTGATAGATGGTACTGGAAAATTTCTGGAGTTAATTGTATATTTTAAAACAAGATGAAAATTACAAAAATTAAGAAATTCACTAGAATATTTACAATTTTATATGTCAAAAATTAATAAATTCCCTCATTTTTATAATTTTCATTTCGTTTCAAGTTACACAATTATTTTTTGGCCAATATAAATGGACGAGTCCAATCGCAATGTAATTATAGATGCTTCCATAAAAAATATGAAGGTACAGTCACGATATATACAGTAGCGCAACTCTTCCGATTTTAACGTGTACAAAATTGAACTGCACATGCGCGAGCTAAGTAGGTAACCAATCACGTAACTAATTCTGTCACATTTCTTCTCAGGTTTTTCTATGACATTCTCGCTAAGGCGTGTTAAAGTAAATAAATAGGAGTGTTCAGTATTGAGTGAATATTGAATATTGATTAATGAATAGTTCAGTGTTCAGTGAATAGTGATTAATGAGAGAAAATAAAACTAAGAACGAAAAGTTATTTTTTTTTTTGGAAACTAATTAATTTCTATAAAGATTTATACAGATTAATTATTCTTCATTTTTTTTATTATAAGATTTTTTATCATTAGATTTCTTTAGTATAAATTTAAAATATTAAAAATTTAAAAAAATGTTATTTCCTTTGAAAATTATTATTTGTTTTTATTCTAAAAGTAAATTAGACATTATATTTAACATAATTGTAATTGCATATATGTATAAGCATATTTATAATGCTTTTAAAATAAATTATTTTTCTTTATACAAAAATATTTTTTTACTATTGTATACCTACATTTCTATTTATTCATTAAATTTTATATTGTTTTTAAATTTTATAAATAATTGTATTTTTTAAATCTTATAAATTTAAGAAATATATATTTACATTTGTTTTTATTTTAAAGTAATAATATTAATTAAATACATGCGTTTATTTTATATATTATTTCCTTATATTGGATATTTTTTTTCAATATACTTTCTTATATTTTATGCAATTTTTTTACC